GAATGTTTTGTTCAAAACCGAATGGTGCACCAATATCATTCACTGATAAAATTCAAAATGTTCACAAAGCTGAAAATGTACAAAAATGCGAATAAAAATTACGAATTGCTGAGAAAATAAAGATGAATTCAACAACAGCGAAACGAATACATTGATTCATTGTGGCAGTTAAAAATTTACACTGATCACTTAAACACTGATATAACACCAAGTTGAAAATCGATTTTCACACGATATCTCTGCGAATATGGAAAGCACAAACAATACATCCAATAATAGAGACCATTTTTCTGTCAAATGCCACACAAACATTCAATGAGAAATTGAATGGGATCTGAAATCTTATCTCAGAAATCTGAAAATCCAAAATCTCCAAACATATGCAGAAGGGTTCTAAAAAATGAAAATATTTTATGCAAAGAAATCAAACGGAGAAATGAATAGAGAAACTGAAAAGGAGAGTAGAGGATATGATATTGTTTCGTAAAATGACAGGATCTTGCTGGTAATGAAACGATGATAATACATAACAGCGATAGCAAGATTGCAAGCGGCAAGTGCATATATATCAAGATGATTCGGTGCGTGCTCTCGTAGCTGTTCCATGTTTCATCTTACGGTATTTGCTGACGTCGCGAGTGATCGACTTCATCGCTCGATTGATTTTGCCCAACTCCCTAGCGATTGCGTCACACATCGCACCCGAATTCGGCTGTAATTTTCGAGTAGTGGCATATCATTATAACGACACCTATTTCAAGACAACAACACCTCACTCATATACTTGTTGATTGCTGAACAGTCCCAGGAACGAATTTACACGTTTACAAAAATGAACATTAGAGACAGTTCCGGTTTACTCAATTTCGAAATGAACGTTATTAAACGATCAAAACGAAATATGAATAATATCGATAAAACATTTCACTCAAGAGAATAAGTTCTGAACATCTTCAAATCTCAACCTGTGATCGAAGTTTTTCATGTGAACTCATCAGCATCGATTGCGCATCACTCAACATTAATTGCAACTTCACATTCTCCGATTTTAACGTATCAATCTGAAATTGATATTTTCACTGACGCATATCAAATATGAACATATAAAACGAATTTACTTGCGCAAACATTAATACCGAGTCAAATGGATCGAAATTCTCTTTGGCCTTTTCATATTGCGTAAGACGACTGCACAGAGTGGCCAACTGCGAACGGATCGTTCTTGCTTTCTGCAGGGCGTCATTCACATCCTCTTCCTTCAAATTGTTTTCGTTAGAATTCTCGTCAAACTGTTGTTTACCACTTCCAAATGTACACTAGAATTATTCATTAACATCGAATCGAATAAAAGGTCAGTAAAAACTTGTCCGATATGAGTTAGTAGGATGAAAAGTATGGCAGAAAATAAGTAAAGGTAAAGTCTTTAGATGATAATCGTAGATCAGAAAGAATCAAAAAAGTAACTAAGAATCAGAAAAATCGAAAATCAGAATGAGAAAAAAGAATGAATAGAACAAACGCTATGTTTGGTAGCAGTTGAGGTAAGCATATCTTTGATTAGTTCAACAATGGAATGTGATGAACGATACATGTCATTAACCTCGTTGATCGTCATCTCTGAACGGAGCACTTCCACTGCAAATCAGTTATTACTATTACTGTAAATGAACACGTAAAGTTCTTAAGTCAGCATAGCAAATGAATACGAGCTATAAGAGGGCGTGTAAAATTGTGTGAATGATCAATTTTGACATAATCAGCCACTCTCTATAAAACTACTCTCCTATACATATCGACTGCTGAGATCTTGTCAATTTTATAGCAACTGCAATTCATTTTGGGAACAGAATTTTTTTTTACGACATCGATAGTAAGGAATGGAATATGAGTATACGCAGATGAAAT